ATCCATTGTTGATTCGTTGAATTGAAGAATCGAATGAAACAACAAAAAGACTTCCCTGTGATTAAATAGAATACCTGTTTACGTCAATCAATTATTTTTACGGTCATTAGCGCAGCAACTGAAGTCTGCTTGAATGTTTGGCCTAGAAATTGAATTGAAATGAATCATCAGTCGCTGAAATTTGGTTATGATTTGTTTCTTGGTAATAACAATAGAGATGAATCATTGTTACTGTTGCAATTATTCATATTTGTTCAACTTTTGATCCCTTTCGTATTGAGTTGTTATAATTCTTCGCTTTTTTCAGCACTTTTCCGTTTTCATCACCCACTCATAGTTGAATAAAATTCCTTCTGGAAATTCATACTTATTGTTAGTAAGTTTAGAACAAATTCTTATTTATAGCAGTCAAAGCATAACGCTGATAACAAAAGGTATACTTCCTGTTTAAACTGCCGTTTAACAGTTAACTTAACCAACCAATCTGTAAATTCCGTAGGACTGTAACTAGCTCCTTCCGTTTGAAGTGTGCTCGAGTATAGATTGAGTTTAACTCTTTTTTATTACGTTTTACTCTTTTGAGCTTGGTCTCATGGTTACAAAAGGCGAAAACACGCAGAAAAAAATTCATATTATGTGCATCATCATGGCATTTTCTTATTCGTAGCTATTGCAATGGTCATTATTTTACTTCGCATAGTTATTTTCTTTCTAAACCTTAGGTCATAACTATAATAAATGCTGTTAATGCTAATATTGTTATCTATTGTCATTATATGCGGCTGATAAGAACAGCAGTATTAATAATAACGGCACTGATAGTAACAGTAACAGAAACAGTGATAATTATATTTTTATCGCCTTATTAAACATTTTTCTGATTTTTTTTTATTTGGTTCTACGCCATTTATTTTGAACGCATAATAAACTTTTATGGAGTTCAAAACGGTTTTCGAATGAAGCGTCTAATAATTGTTCAATATTGAATAATAATTCGAATAGTATTTTTCATTTTCTCAGATTCAAAACCATTTCTTCATCTTTTTTTATGCAAACATACACCAGTATTTATGGGTGTTTCAGGTTGATTGAAATTGTTGCTTGTGAGTCGATTACTGTGAGTATTGATATTTGTACTGAAGCGAATTTTTTAGACTGAATTCAAAATTCTGAACAGTCATTGATATTGAAAGGATGTCAACATTCGGTGACTATCATCGACGAGTAAGGAACGCTAATATTCGTAATGAGCGGCGCGATACACTCATACATGGCGATTCATTTGATGTCGCACAGGTGAGGTTTCATTGATGTTATTTGTGCTATTATTTACTATTATTACTGTTATCATTACTATTATTATTATTCAGTATTGTTATTATCTTATTTATCAATATTGCTAGCATATCAGTATTATCTTAATAGTCTTAAGTTATGATCGGTGTTATTGTCCTTACTATTATCAGTATCAATATTGCTATTTTCGACACTGTAATGGGAATGATGATATCGTAAGATTACACTAGCTATTATCTCGCATTCAGGAAGAAGTTCATACACAGTCTTCGAAGAACTCACAAACTGAACAGCGATCGAAGAAGAGTAATTTCTTCGGAAGACTTCTGAAAGCAACAAAGAAACCATTTCAAAAGCGCAACAAATAATCACGTCTGAACATTCAGCATGTAAATTCAAACTTTTCGGATATAAATAGATTATTCACAATATTGCTGTATATTAGTGGAAGTGATACAAAAACGAGTTATCTTCCAACTTTATGTTGATTCAAGTGACGATCAGTCGTATGCATTCGATACATTCTGATCTCATTGAAAGTGTACGAATTGACCATCGTTTTTCTTATTCGTCTTATTTTATTCTTTCTGTTGCGCTCTGTTCAACAATAGGTGGTGACGATGGACAAAAGAAATGGCATGCTAACGATCGAATGCGAAACTTTTTGATTGTGCCATTTTTAGATCGTAGGTTCATCCTGACTTGAAGAACACTCACGTTCGCTTCCTTTTTTTCTGAGTTTAGCGTTCACATTGAATGTTGCCGGTTGTGGAACCCTTATAGTTATTTATTGTTGCTAACATCATTTGTATTCATTATATGGCAGCTGTTTTTATTGTTCCTTTTACAACTGCTCATGTTGATGGCTATCATTTGTTTGCTATTATTATTATTGTTATTATTAATAGTATTACTGTTGTTGTTAATGTTGCTGTGGTGGTGACGGTAGTTTTGCTTTTGCCTCTCGATGCTTTTGTTCAAAGTTTTCTCGAATAACTCTAAGAACCATTACATATCATCACCTTGCCATCTTCGATAAGAGTTTTGAATTATTGAAGGAATTAACGTTCAGAAACCACACATTCTCTTCTTATTACATTCCCGTTGTTAGTCACAATTCAATTGTAACATCCAATATTAAATCTGAGCTGGGAATTAAAAAATTTAATGGTACAAAGATGACACACAGACAACTGAAGGAATTTCAAGCTGCTCTCACTTTTAGCATCATGAATTCCATTTTGTCAGCAAACGTTCATTGCTGATCATTGTTAGATTAACAAGACTGATTTTATCGCGAAATAGAATGTTCATTGCAACCTTCTACAATAGGAAAAAAACAGGTGTATTTATTTTTGATTTGTTTTTTGATTGAATTCGACATATCAAAACGAGACCGTTGTAACTTTATTTGAAATCTTCAATACTAATAATAATAATAATAATAATAATAATAATAATAATAATAATAATAATATGTACGTATTTCACTGCAATACAAACAGCCACCAACCAGTCACCCAAACAAGCATGTTGCTTGGTTTTACTTATTTTATTTTCTATTGTATTCATTTTGTTGCTTTTTTGTTAAATGTAACCGATCAGACGAAATTTCATTTCAAATGAACACAGAAAAACAGTTTTTAGGGCTGGTATTCATCAAAGCCAAAGCATCGATTAGGTAAATATCTCGCTTGATGGATCAGTACGTTTGCAGTCGAATTTCCATCAGCTATTACTTTTGTTGAGTTTTTTTTTGCCTCAACGAGACTATCAAAAATTCGAGTTTTGATGGTTAAGTGAGGTGGCAAAAACTTTGTTGCATGGACTTCTTGTTTGCTAAAACATCAATGAACGTCCAATTCGAAAAAATAAATTCGGATTCAACGTAACCATTATCATTTTGTTTGAAAATTAGACTCAAATACTAACGTTCAGTATATATAAATACCCGCTGTTTATGTACATATATGCTTCAGTCATAAAATTAGTATTATTTTTTATTCGATGCCACACGCATCCAAGTGGTGCTCCTCTATACGTTATACGCTGAACGATATCTTCATGCTGATAGCTTTCTTTTTTTCAACAGATCATGAAAAAATTGTGTTGTTCATAAATACGTATGTCGTGTGCACGTATTTCAATGAAGTGTGACTTTTAGTTTTCAATTAAAATTCCATAGCATCTGGCAGTGCGCCCACTTAATTGTACAATGAAAACAAAAAGGTCGCAATAGCAAAGGTCGCATTGTTCAACGCCAGAACGAAAACAAAAATTATCCTCTATCGGAGTCGTCGTTCACGGTGAATCGATTGTAATTCTATCGGAGAACACCAACAATCCACGTTCTTTGCCACACATCAGACTGGTGAAAGGCATCATAAAAACGAAACCGTAATCGGAAAACAATTATAGTTGAAGGAGAAATTTTGAAGAATCGGTTAATCAGTTTAGTGACAGTTTCGTTGGTGAGCAAAAATTTTGTACTTTAATTTCATCAACATCATCGCCAAACGCGCATGATCACAGTTTTAGGTCATATACATTTCGAAATACATACGCAAATATTATGCCTATTTCCATGTGCATGAACAATGATTTTTTAATTTTTCGGTTGGTTTGTTGCCGTATGCATTCGATTTAGCATTTTGAATGATGGAAAATATCGTACATAAAAGTTCATCATCAGGATGCTAGATTAGCATCGTTTTTTTTTTGCTGATAGCACACAAAATATTATCGTTTGAACCAGGTTTAGGCGAGGTAATTGAAAGTGCTAAAAACATATAGTTTCCGGCTAGATCTTGCCAGCTGTCTTTTTTGCTTGCTCCTCGAAAATTTAATCTATGATTAAGATCTAAAATAAAAGCTCGTTGAGTCATGATTTCTGTTTAGCGAACCGGTAAATGAATTAAGGATTTCACAGTAGGCGAAAAAATAATAATATTGTGTATACAATTCATGAAAAATTATCGAAATGTTGATAATTTTTAGTTGATGATGAACATATGAACGTGAAATATGCATTGCAAAAATGAACCGAAAACAGTAGAAAGAATTTCTTCTTAATGATTATTCATGAGAGATTGTTTTTGTCGTCGTCATGTTCGTTGCTAATATTATATTGTTGAACGATACTGTTGTTAGTGACGACGAATAACACGCAAAAATCGTGATCAAGAAGAGGCTGATGATGATGAAATAATATTAGCAATTGCGTTCAGTAGTCGGCACGGCCAGATTCTCTACTACTGTCTTTTGCTTCGAAGGAGGAGAATCAGATGAAACAGACGGAAAGATGGGACGCCGTAAAAATTTCGACATATTTGGAAGTGTTGCAATGGAATCCATAACCTGAAAAAGAAGAAAGAACATCCAAATCCTCAATCAAATACTATTCCACTTGAAGCGTTAAAAAACTCAGTCGCCACTGTTGTTTGTCCGTTTACATTCCAGCCGTGCGCTCGTTCGTTGCATATATGATAAGGGGAAATCATTTGGCAATCAATTTGCGAGAAATGGAAATTTCAAGTGTTGAAATTTGGTATGATGTTTGTTTATAACTGTAAAATACAGTTGATGCAAAAATCTTTTGCCAAACATGCCTCCGGTGATGTTGCAAGTGACAGAAATGATGAACAGTTTTCGAAGAAAAACAAGGACAATCGCATGTTCGTGCGCGCCTTATATCGCTAATCAATTCATGAACAGGATTGGCCACTCAAGCACTCACTCACCTCATTAATATTTTTGTTTTTTGTCTCCGGCATATTGAAGTAAAGAAACAATAACGCTGCCACCAACGGTACAATGAACAATATCACATACGCAAATGCTTGTCCAATTGCACCTTGTAGCGGTAAATAAATGCCCAATAAAACTGTACGACTGTAAAAAAAAGAACGAAAAAAGTTTGATTAACTGAGTAAAATTTGTCCATTTCTGATAAATGTTATATATTTCATACGCTCTCCGATTCGTGTAACTTTCTTCTGAGGTTTGATTAATTTTCTGGGCTGTCTTGCATTTGGACTGTGTATTTAAAATGTATATATGTTTAAAAAAACGAAGTACATCTCATCTTTTTTAAGTAACCAGGAATTCATACAAATCCTTCCCTCTTTTCACCCCCCCCCCCCTTCCCACCGCCCGCAAACTGTTACAAGAATTATGAATTTTTGGATTGTACTTTACAGTTATAATCGGTAACAGAGAAGAGATAGTCATGGGTGGATGATAGAGTTTAAAAAGAAAATTTCAGAAAAAGAAATAAGAAATGAATAACAAAGAAAAAAAATTTACGAAAGCATTTGCGTGAATGATGCCCAACTCTGTGCAGCGGCTCTCGCATTTTGATGCACCAATTCAGTGGTAACGAAAAACGTTAATGGTCCAGGGCCCATTGCAAATATGATTATGAACAACGATATGACCGCAATTAGCACGTAACCAATCCACATCATCTTCAATGACAAAAATGAGGAGTTAAGTGGGAATCAAATTAGATGTCACCTCATCATTACTACTGAACATACGAATTGTTGAACCTTAAGTAACTGTATGAATTGTGAACGTTAGTAAATATGATCATTCAAAATTCTTCAAATATTGGCCATTCGATCGAAAATATGCAGCAAAACTTTTTCTTTCATTCAGAAAAAAATTAATTTTTCTTACTAACACCAAATTTATTGAACAGAAACATCAGTGTGAAAATGATTAAGTTGATTAGGATAATCAACGAAATTGTGATCAAAAGTAGAGGTCGTCGACCGAATCTATCAACGATACATGATGATAAGATGATTGCTACCTGAAATCAGATCAATTTTCAATTCGTTTCGATCGAACTCTAATAACTTCAGTTAACAAATAAATCATTTGGTGGTTATATGAATGAGCAAATATGTGAGATAGTAATACTTTTATCTACATTTAAGTATTAATTGAGAATCAGTAATCTCACTGAATTAATGAATGAATGGAACGATGGATAGTTTCCAAAGGTTCAACTAAAAAAACGCTTACATACTTACATACACGGTTAAGAAAGTTATACTTGATGCTGACTAATGACTCAGACCATAGGTCATGAAGGTTCATTTGCTGGCTACGATCTGCAGCTATCTATGATTAATCGAATCAAAACTATTGTTACTTCAATTCGAGATTCATCAGTAAAACTTAACAAGCTAACAGCTGATAAGACAATATTTCCAATTGAAGCTTCCATCAGGGAGAGACCACAGTGCAAAAAGATATCCACCGCAAAAGCATTGATCACTGTAAATAAACTGAAATGTTCGTAACGAAGCAACCGAAAACCCGAAATCTATCATTAGTTCATCACATTACATTGGAAGTGACCATGTTGTGTTTGAATGACACGAGACAAAATTTTTGTTAAAGATCATTAATTTGACTGCCGAAAAAAAAGTTGTCTGATTTGTTTCAAGCAAAAGTGAGCAAAACAAAGTTGAAACAAGTGGATCATACTAACCAGCAATTCCACTGAACGCCATCGAAATTGCAATAACCATGCCAGTAAACGTTGAGCGAACCGTTTGATGGTCTGAGAACACTTCAAATAACGATAGTGCTTTTGAATTCTGCTTCAAATTCTCTTTTGTTTCCATCAATACCATTTTACTGCTACTCAAATCACAATTGTGAAAGAACATTATTGACTGAGAAGCAGCCTCTTCATGACCACACAACGATAAATAGCTGAAAAAAAGATCGATTCGTTGGTTGTTGGTGGTGTTGTTAATGCTGTCTATGACCGTTGTTGCTGCTTATTTTCTTTATCAAAAACTTTTGCAAAACTTTGTATTAACGAATAGAAAATGAGAACCTTACCCAGGACTTTCGGGCATCAGCGGTAAAGTGATGACAGTAAATACGAGAAGAATGCCTTCTATAAAATAAATATGCCATAAGTGATCATAAGTACCCAACAAGTTGGGCATTGCAATGATCGCACCAATTACGGTACCGAATTGTACCATCACACCAATTATCATACTAATCAATCCGCGACAATCTTTCGGACTGAAAATTCACTGCACACACTCTGTTCACTGCATTTCGAAAATGAACGGATTGGTGGAGGTGTTAACTGAAATCACTTATTCTCAATGGAAGCCGCATGTTCATCATAGAAATGGTGATGGAAGTGGATCAAGATTATATTCATTGTTATGATCAAGCTCAATCTTTTCGATTAGATTCGAATTTATGCTTAAGTTTTATTTCAGGCTGGCTGTCCACAACGCTAGGGTCAAGCTGAGTCTCAGGGTAGATCATTAATAGATCGCTACCGGCGTATTAGTTTCCACGATTACGCGTAGAGGCAGCTGCGTAACTAGCAGCAATTTTAAGCTGATTTGAAACCGAGGTGGAATAGAAGAATGTTCACATTTTTGTCATTTTTAAAGACTTTTTTGGTTACTCCTGAGACGATCTATCCTTCGTATTTTTGGTTACTCCTGAGACGATCTATCCTTCGAATTTCATAGGAGGACATTTGAAAGAAGTGGCGGGATTGAGCAACCTTAGGACATCATCGAGAAGCATGCAATTCATTCACAGAACTACCACAGAAAAATTTTCGATGTTTACAATAAGTTGATTAAGGTGTGAAATAGACTGCCACTTAGAGACTGATCTCTAAGACGCGTTCTGTGAGTCTTCCGCTCACCAATATAAAATTTCAACGTACTTCCCGTTTAATTTTGGCTCATTTGCCGTTTGATGCTCTAATGTAATTTGTTACAAAATGATTTCAGAATTCATCGCAGAGGCAAACAACAAAAAACCTTTACATATCAACTATGAAGGTATTTACTCACCTACTTTCATTGAGATACAAAGCGGCGAGACCTAAACTCAAACTTATTGCGAAACCAATCAAAATTCTCGATATGGCATACAACTCGAATGAATTTACCTGCAAATTTCATGATTTTTTCCCAAACGAATAAAATATTGTCGTCAAAAAATTCATGACATTTAATCATCATGTTTACTACCATCTTTGTCACAATGAACATCTTGATATTGTTGTTGTTGCAGCGTAAAGAAGTAAGTAGAAACTTTTAAGCATTTGAATAAAAATCACCAAAATTCGTCACCGTTTGGCGAAGAAAACGATTAAAAATATCGAACTGATGTCACCAATTATAAACAAAACCAAATAGAAGACTGCTCACATAAAAACGAAACACAAAACGTACAAAAAATGCAATTATCGAGAGGATAGTCGCTAAAATTGTCGTTGCAAATGAGAAATATAATCCACGTTTCCGGCCAAAATGTTCGCCAACCGAGCGGATCGATAACGAACCGAAAATAGCGCCGATAAATAAAACAGCCACAGTTGTTGACCATATCGTCTGCATGCAAACAATCGCATAACTTGATCAATCAAAAGGCTCATGGATTATCATAAAGCATTCATTTTTCATTCATTCAAAAACAATTGCTCGATAGCATTCAGCATCCGTCGTCCTCATGAAACGTATACAAAAGAGCATTTCACAGTGAGAAAATATTTTCCACTTTCCAAGGGTGCTCATACAACAAATTATTGTCATTACATCACTATTATTCTTACATTACCATCATTACTGTCGCGATCAGTATCATTATTATTACTTGTGTCATTCATGTAATACATACTCTGAGTTGCTGACTTGTTAACGAGGAATCATAGTGCGCGCTGAATGACGAATTCAAGAACTGCAAGAACGCTTGTTGTGTTGGATTTGTTATCACCAATTGATAACCAAAATGGAACGCACCACCGAAATTAACAACGAATGAGACGAGCAACAAACGCCATCCAGGAATCTTCGTCAACATCCTTCAAAATTCTCTTTTTCAACAACGATCCATTTTCCTGATATGCGAAACCATCAACACAAATTGTGAACCATCAATCAATCATTCAATCAAAACAATCAACAAATCAACTGAGTGAATATTTGATATATTGGCACATTATCACAATAACAAACTTTTATTTTAGCTTATATGTATACCTGTATTATAAATACATGTGTATTCATATGTCTATTATGTTTATGTCAAAACGATTCTGTTGTTGTTTTTTTATCGAATTAAGCAAACGTGTTATCTCGTTGATGATCATCAGCCTCACTAGGATTCAATGATCACAGGTGACAAGTGTCTAAACGAGAGTTAAATGAGTGAAGATTTGACATAAGACGAGGTTGAGACGTGATGAACTGTGTGAAATTTCTCGTAAGTTAAGCGAGATAAAGAATGGAAGAAATCGAATACGTTGAAACGAGACGAGAGACATTAAGGCGGATTTTAAATGCGATGAGGAAAGATGCGATTTTTAAGTGCTTTTTTAGAGCGTAATTCGCTCGTACTTGAGAGGAGTGCGACGGTACTCTTCATACATTGTTGAAATTTTTTGGTATCGTACTATTAAGGGATGAACACATCAGGTCAGTGGTTCCCAACCTGGATTGCGCGACATTGCTCTAAGGGGTGCGAGATAATATTTCATCATTAATGCATCAAATTTCATAACCGTCTGGATAAGTGTAATGAATTTCTTGCGATAATTTATGTAGCCTACGAGAGCTTGAAATTTAGTATTATCGTTTGCCAAAAATTAACGTTTTTTTCGTAATTTATTACATATTAACTTTTAGCGTCTTGCAGAATTTCAACACTTCAGTTCTTCTATCATTTCTCGTTTATTCTTAGGTGGAAAAAAAGAAATGAGAAACTATCACGAGGATAAAAACGAGACAAAATGAATCGAGAAACGATCGCAGCGAGGCTAAACGCAATGAGAAACGAGCACTCATTGGCATTTTCTGCTATTGTTCATTGTTTGAATGAATGAGAGCAATGAACATTCAAATTTGAGTGGTAACAAAATCAACAATAACTTGATTCAAATCGAATGTTGCTGCTATTGGTAATGATGATGCTAATAATGAGGATGTTGGTGATAATCCTCAAAAAATTATGCACAATATTTTACGATATCGGGTTGACCGCTTTTGACGTCGTATATAATAATGTATATACAATGAACACGAATGTATTATTGAATGTTCGATAAAATTGTCATTTGAATAATGATAGATATTTCGTGCATCAAACATCTATTTATTACTTTCAATAATAATCTCATAATTTCCAGTGGTATCGTTAATACTTCGATATGTTTATGGAAATAACATTTACTAAACTAAAAGTTATTATTATTATCACCATGATCATCAATATCATCACAACAGCAACAACGGATGAATGATGCAGGCGCGAATTCAAAATAATCACTCATTTGAATTTCGTTCGCATTTTCAATTCAGTTATCAAAAATAGCGTTTGCTGGTTGTTCTGTTGTTGACCATCATAGAACTACGTGTTCCCACACTTGAGTGCACTTCTAATAGAACCGTATTTCTCACGTTTGGAACCTCCATTATCACCTTCGATCAGGGGTTAATTTACCTCCTTATGAGAAACGCTGTTCTAGACAAACAAGTATCAATACTGTGAAAGTCATGCGCTCAATGATGTATACACGATCTCATAGCAAACACTCACGAGCAAGCAAAAGAGACAAGCACACCGTCGACGTTCATTGGTCACCAGGAACTGATAGATTGGCTTCAGTTCTGCAGCTTTGCACTTATTATCTCAGTCGATTCTAAGGTAATTAGCACCGTGAAAAAAAAAAAACTCGAAGTGATTGAAAAACTTCTTCCGCGGAAACGAGAAGATGAAAGGAAGGAAGAAGAGAACACTTTTCTCAATTCTTGACATAAGTGAAGTATTTCATAGTTTGTTCAAATTCCCATTTTTATAGGTGTAAATAAGGATGAATGAAGGCAAATAAATGTCATATTTTCATAAGAAGTATTGCTTTCAACTGCTTTGTTAGTCGATAATGTTGATCAAATTTTCCATACATCTATTGTGCACCTCACAACCATTATTAGCAGTGGCACAGAACTCACATATTGCGAACATTTTTCGCTAGACATCAACAGCAATAATAATCAACCCATGAAATAATTTTGAAAAGGTCAGTTTATCAAGAGTGCACATTTCTTTAAACATTCGAAGAAAGCTTGAATTTAGCAACACCATTTATTGTGGGGTGTTATGCAAATGAGTAGAGATCTTAAAATGATCCATAAATCCACGAATGCAGCGCTTCTGTGGGTTATGCAGACAAAATTGAAGAATTTCAAGCGGATTCATAGGAACACAATAGTGACAGACAATATAGAAAGAATCAGTTTATTCATTAACAGGATACCTGGAAAAGATTTATTCTTTTGTGAAAACACCTGATGGCTGAATTCGATATTTTATAATGAACTTTTGTGAAGAATGATGAAGAATATTATATTCAATCAATACCAACCATAGTAAACTCTTGTAAAGAATATATCACCTTTTATCATTTGATAACAGTGAATGCAATCTGCTCCGTTACTGTTTGAGACATGACGAGTCCGTTAAAACTGTAGGCGATAACAGAAACATTCGAAAAATTCAACGTGTGAAGCAATACTTAGCTATCAGTGAATTGAAACCGTCATTTTCGTAAATGAGTGTATAACCTGAAATGAACAAAGGGAACTTCTCAGAAACAAATGAGCAAGGTTCAATTAAAACAAGAATAGTTCCGCGCGAGAAAAACACACTTTTTCGTGGAAAAAAGTATAGAACAATTGCTGAACCAGAGTGGATAGCAACGTATGTAGACGAATGTGATCTGAAGAATAATTTTTAAATTACGTTATTTTGAATCTTCTATGATACTAAAAGTCGTCGATTTTCGAAATTGAGTTTTAATCTCCGAAGTTTCCCGTCTCTGAATTTAGTCGAGCTGGCCACGTATTCAGAGTCCACGACTGTAAAATTTTGTCCCCGACTTTTTTTCCCCGGATTACACTGGAATCAATCATGGAAAAAATAATTCGATATTTTAAGCGGATTCATAGGAACACAATAGTGATTCATAGGAATATGTGAAAATAATAATAGATTCATAGGAATATGTGAAAATTTTCTTCGTTTATATCAAAACACATTGCGCATTCATCTGTGAAAATTTACTCATGGAGAATACAAATCTGGCATTGAGGTATTTTGTTATCTTAAATTATCGTGAGACAAACTATTTTGTCCCACAATGACTTAAGACGTGTCCCACAATAGAGACTGAAGAGCAGAACTTTTTGTATCTAGGTATTTTCTCACTCTTTTCGGAACACATTCAGTAAATGAGTAAAAGATGTTGATCGGCTGGGAAAGTAATTCGAAGAATTTGCGAATTTGAATATATTATGTTACTGACATGCAAAAACTACCACGAATTCATGTAAACAGTACTTCATTTACCCACAGAACATTTAAAGTAACGAAATTTGAAAATTATTCTTCAGATCACATTCATCTACATACGTTGCTATGCACTCTGCTAATGACTGTTATTGTTCACACATATCCGAGTATTCATAAACCTATAAAGGACCACCCACAAACAACTTTTTCTCAGTAGAATTACGATGTTCGTAGAAACACTAGTATCAAAAACGCCATTGTTCAACTGTAATGTGAGCTAAATCTAACATTAAGTGAGCCTCATTCATGGTCAAAGTTGAAGCACAGGCAAGTCTTGATGGGATTGATCCCTAGTATAACCGAACCAGGTATGACTGGTGCTTCATCGTGGTTCGAGATATCAATGTCATATGCTTGTTTTTCTCCTGCACCTTTCTCGTTGCATTATTGATTCCATGAGATATCATTATTTTATTACGCATTTTCCGAACTGTATATGTTTTACTTGCACACCTGTATTATAACTATGTGTATTGCGTTCATGAGTATTATCCCGCATTCCTTAATCAGTCACTAATAATTAGCATCCTCCTTACAATTAGGTGTGTTTGTGAGCTGTAATTTTTTGAGCAATTATGTTTAATGATAACTTAAAAAGTTTTGCGGACTCATTCAGCAATCAAAACATTCCAAAACTTTAGCATACTGTAATGGCAGAAGCAAACCAATTATTTAAGGAGATTTATTATTATAAGAAAAACGATTGCATGTATTGATCATTCGCTTCATATAAAGAACATTTTTGGCTGTGAAAGAATGTGAAATGTTTAACTGACTCTGTCTAGTCGAAAAATGACCAACAAACAAGACCGATAAATGGTATCCTCGGAGACAAACTACCGGAAATACGGAGTGAATCTAATTGACCGAGTTAACAGTAAACAGAACAGCAAATGAATAAAGGCCTCGCTGCTTATCAATTTTCAGAACTCAGAATTTTCGAACGTCAACTACCACTCCGATTTTTATCATTGTTCTGGTTTGTTGTTGTCACCGCATTATTCGATTATTGAATAGGTGGTTAGTAAATTAATGATATTAGTCATTCAATCAAGAGATTACAAGTTTAGTTTTCTGGAATGACGCACGAATGAAGCTCGTGAAATGACTGCGTATACGGTACTTATCTATACGGTAAGTAATGCGCTGTTCCTTTCCTTCATATTAGGTGAACATGTAATCGATTAACTTTTCCAAACTCTCATAATCGAATGTGCGCTCACTCATAAGTAATTGAGTTTTGCGAGTGAACTTACCGCATTTTGAAGTAATAATTCCATTATCTTCACTTTCAACTTGAGCGATTCTATGCAAAATTTTTCATCATAAAATCAAATACTCAAATGACACCGAAAAAAAGCTACCTAATGACGAATTCATTGAAAAATTAGTAGTGATAGCATAATATTTGCTACGGTGTAGGTTAAGTGCGTTACTGGAATGAGCAAGTGGCT